GAGACTCAGGGATGATTGGGTTATGGAAACCTTGTCTGGAGTGAGGTGGGAGGAGCAGGCTCCAACAGGGCTGAGGTTGAAGCAAGTAAGATCATAATGAATGATAGGAAGGACAGTGAGGATCATTTACCTAAGTCCCAGCCCTGTGTGGCCACGAGGGGTCCCTGGTGAAATGGTTTCTAGATATAGACAGCTCATGAAGAGGGAATAGGCTAAGAGGAGATGCTGAGAGGCTCTGCAAGAAGAGCTAAGCTGGGTCCCAAGTAGGAGTTGGAGTTTCTAGGGAAATGAATGAATAGTAGGAGGAAGGGCACCTGCAAGCAGGCTGCTACAGAACTGAAGACTGGAGAAAGCCTAATGGTGGACAGGACCAATTGTGAGACTCACCCGCTGAGTATCAACCTATTGTTGTCAACTGGAGTTGTCAGATAGCAGGTGGGGTGTCCTTGCTATCAATGACTGACAAAAAAAGAATGAGGATGGGCTAGAAGGAAGGAGCTAAACTGGGTGGGCCCCCAGAGCAGCTGCCACAGTTTTAAATTTAATTATTCCCCATTTCCTTCAAATACTCACTTGGCTTTCTTTGATTATTAATTCTCATGGGGACTAAAAAAAATGTTACAAAACTCTTTTTCTTTTTAAGATTTACTTATTTATTGTATATAGTGTTCTGCCTGCTGGCCAGAAAAGGGCACCAGTTCTCTTTATAGATGGTTATGAGCCGCCATGTGGTTGCTGGAAATTGAACTCAGGATCTCTAGAAGAGTAGCCAGTGTTCTTAGCCTCTGAGCCATCTCTTAAGCACCCCCTCAGATTATTTACTTTTATTTTATGTCCACTGGTATTTTTTCTGCATGTATGTCTGCTTGAGAGTGTCAGATCTTGGAGCTGTCTGGCTTTAACTGGTTCCAATTGTTTCTAAGAGTAAAGCATATATCCAAAACCTATCTCTGATAAAATAGTTCAAAAATGAGCTGTCAGCTGCCTCTGCTTCAGGGCATTGCTACTTTCTTGAAGATTTGAAGTTCTTCTCTGGGTCGAGGTGACCTTCTTATCATCACAAGCTTTGTGAACACATTCATTTATACTTCAAAGAACAAGTCTGATCTTTGGCTATGACATAAAACGATCAAGAGAAGAATATGTGTGCATGGTGAATTCAATACTAGAGATAAATGTAGGATGTAGGAACTGTACAGGCCTAAAGTATCAGAGTATTTTGCCTCAGTTATTAGAGTAATTTTATGAGGTGGTAGCTTCAACTTAGATCACTTTGAGAAAAGGCAGAAATGACAGACATACTTTTGATGGAAAATAAAACCACAGAATAGGAGAAATAAAAAGATAAATTAAATGTCCTTTCAGAGAAAGTTCTTATGGGTAATTTTGCAGTGTTATGTTAAAAGTACTAAACTGTGCTATATTATCACATATTAAATAAATGACTTATTTATTTGAAATATTTCCTCAAGCTTTTTAACTTCATGAATCACAATCAATGCATAAAACCAAAGGGAAAACAAGATGTCTTGGGGTGTCTATTGCTACAAGGAAACAGCATGAAAAAAAGCAAGCTGGAGAAAAAAAAAAAAAGTTTTATTTGGCTTACACTTCCACTTTGCTTGTCACTGAAGAAAGTCAGGATAAGGACTCAAACATGGCAGAAACCTGGACAGGAGCTGATGCAGAGGACATGGAGGGGAGCTGCTTACTGGCTTGCTTGGCCTGCTTGCTTATAGAACCCAAGACCACCAGTCCATGCATGGCAGCACCCACAATGGGCTGGGCCCTCCCTCCCTTTTCAATCGCTAATTAAGAAAATGCTTTACTGCTGGATCTTATAGAGGCATTTTCTCAATTAAGGTCCCCTCTGTTCAGATAAGTCTAGCTTGTGTTAAGTTGGCATTAGACAGCAGAGAAAATGAATTTTAAAACTAGTCCATTTAGCAAAACATTTTTTATGCTTAAGGTGGTGGAAAACTATTTCCCATTTCATCTTTAGTCTTCATTTATCTGTCTGAGGATCATGAGCCCAGATGATATGTGTTCTAAGTCTGACACAGTAACTTATGGTTGCTCTTTGGAAGCAGGTTTTACTCTGAGTTGGAAGCCTGCCTCTCCACACTAGAACCAGCCCAGGCACAGCCTCCTTTCATGGCTGTTCAATGATGAGTTCAGAAAGAGCAAACTGAATTTCTTTCCATGAGTACAGATGACTCAATGTTGGAATTAAATCTCAGTTACTAAGCTGAAAACTACATAAACTTACAGGTACTTTGATCCATTCCATGCCATGGTGCTGAGGGAGTATGTTGTTTCCTTGGTATGTCACTGAGAGAGGCACATTATCAGACTGAATGAATGCTTATGGGCAAAGCATGTCTTAGCCACAAGCAGCAATATAGTTAGAGACTGCGTGCACCAAACATGAAAATGGGGACTTCATTTTCAGGTCTACCAACTAACTGTTCAGTCTCCAAATTTGATTCTCTATGTTCTTAAAAAACAGACATTGCTGACTAATAAAGGCATAAGCATATGTTCAAGGTTGTGGCATAATAACCTTTGCCAAAAGATACTAAAATACTCCTGGATCTATTTTTGCTGAAAAGTGTGTGTGTGTGTGTGTGTGTGTGTGTGTGTGTGTGTGTGATTCTGAGGCTCTTTGCCTATGTCAGATAATTGCTTCCTTTAACAAGAATATGTCTTTATTCTTGAGAATTTTACACATTCGTACAATCATTAATCATCTCCATTTTCTTCCTACAATTCTCCTGAATCTACTGCAGTGTCTTCACTTTTATGTCACTTAATTTTGTGTCTTTTTTTTTCTATTTTCTTTTCTTTCCTCTTTTTTGTCCTTCTTCTTTCATACAATTCATTAAGTACAATTGTTGTTGGTTATGTGTATGTGAGTGAGTTTGGGGCAATTTCCTAGAGCATGGAAGATCTCTCAGTAGGAGCATCCTAAAAGACAAAGATCCCCAGCCTCTTTCAATTGCCAGTGGCCCTTGGGTAAGGGATGGAGCATGAAGAGTGCCTCCTCCATTATCTGTTCCAGAATTCTGTATGGATTGATCTTATGCAGGAGGTCTTGTACAGGTACACATAGCTTCAGTGACTTCCTGAGTATGATAGATATGCCATGTCCAGGAACCAATTTGTCGCACACCCCTTCCCACCATTGACTCTTCCAAGAACATAAAAAGATCATTGTTCGCCTTTTTGCTTATTTGCTTGCTTGCTTTTAATAATGGCAAGTCTCTATTTCTGAGTATTCCAATGGGACCATTTTAGATTCCATCTCTTCATGCTTTATCTTTTAAAATGTTCTTGGCACTATTGTGTTTACTGTAAAACATATAAATGACAAGCCATATCTATAGTCATATTTATAAGACTAGGATGTTATGTGCTAGGAAAGACAAAACAGTTTTCTCCCACTCAGAACTGTTTGAATAATTTTTATAGTATCATCATTTTGTTTATGGATTTCACAAAAACATGTTCTTGTAAATAATGTTCCAAATTATTTCAGGAATTTATTGTTTGCCTCCTTGTAGAAAAATGAGACAGACATAGAGGGGAACACTGGATCATAGTAGCAAATAAACTTGATCATATATTTTTATAGAACATACAATATAGCATCTTTGATTAAAAAAAGAAAAATTATTTCAGATATCTGGAACATCACTTGTGAATTTCAATAGCCATTGAAGGCTCAGAACGTTCTCCCTAGAAAGTGTATTATTCTTTCCATGATGTCTAGATCCCTTTTCATGCTCTTCACATCCTTCCAGGAGCAGCATCCAACTGACAGTGAGGGTAATTAATTTAAGGACCCCTATTCTAAGCATCGGGCATGGTTTCTGGGTAATGATATTAAGTCGTGTGCATATACCACGGTGTGAGGCGAGGGGCTCTTTGCACACCTACATTTCAGAAGAAAGTGAAGAAAACATGGCTGGGGTCCTGGAGTAAACTCCACTGTATGCCTTCAGGAAAAGTCTGGCAGTAGAATGGAAGTGAGCAGTTTGGATTGATTCTGCTCTGGTTGAGTCCAGGGAGGCATCACTAAAGTTTTGTTTGTTTGTTTTGCCTTTTGTTTTTAATGTTATCCTGCTATTTCATTCATGAAATATTTTTGCTTCCAGGTGCTCAAAAGGTCATCCCCGTTCCCTGTACTAATGTGCATCTGAAATAGAACTAGTGTGACAGCTGAAGTTGGAGGGAAGCTGTGACAGTGAAACTCCAGTCTCTTCACTCGGGCAGGAGTCCTGCGTGGCTGCTCGCTGTTTTCTCCCCCCACCAAGATATAAAGTGTTCAGAGGAAAACGCCTGGCCTTTCCCCAGCCCTTGCTGCATGTTCTAAGATCACCCTTCTCTACTGTCACCTGGCTTCTGATCTTGATTTGAAAGCCCTGGCTCCATGGAGGTCCTAAATGACCTTTCTGAAACCTGAGGCTAATTTCGAGTCACAGTTGATTTTTTTTCCTTAGAGAAAAAAAAGTATAATATGTATTTCAAACATGGTTTTGTTGAGGATCTGCTTGACACAAAGATCCTGTCCTCCAGAATCTTTCATCCTAGTAGGTTTGAAAGTTCTCAGCATCAGTGTTGTGCCCAGCTCCAGCTCTGCCCAGGTAGAGCACCGCAGAGGACTTGAAGTTCTTGGCTCAGGTAAAGAATGAAGCTGCCCAAAGACCACTGTGTAAATGCGCCTCATTCTCAGGGACAGACTTGAAAGACCTTGCATTGCAAAGCCACAAAGAAGGGGGTGGGGTGGGGAAGGATTCACCCAGGTGGCTTCTATTAGTGTCAATAGGGAGAAGTCGGAGGTCCTAGCCAAAGCTTGGAAACGCCAAGCCAAACTCTGAGATCCCACACACCTCCCCACAAAGAGTTCAGCGGTGGTGAGACCGCTGCCCCTGGCGCTGCCTGGGGGTGCTCTGAAGAAACGGACACCCCTTTTGGCTCTCCTCCCCGCGACCGCTCTCATGGACTTCGCTTTGGAGCGCTTCGCTGAAGCTGTAGACCCGGCTTTCCATTGCCAGCTGTGCGGCCAGGTGCTGGAGGAGCCCGCGTGCACGCCTTGCGGCCACGTCTTCTGCGCCAGCTGCCTGCTGCCCTGGGCGGCGCGGAGGCGCCGGTGCCCACTGCAGTGCCAGCCACTGGCGCCGGGAGAGCTGTATCGGGTGCTGCCGTTGCGCAGCCTGGTCCAGCAGCTGCGAGTGCGTTGTGACTACCGTGCACGGGGCTGTGGCCACACCGTGCGGCTGCGAGAGCTGGCGGCGCACGTCCAGAGCTGCGACTTTGGCCTTGCCAGTGGCTGTGGCCGCCACTGCTCAGGAAGCTGCTGCGGAGGCGGCAGGAAGGAAAGGAACCAGGCTACCACAACCCAGCCAAGTGGGGACACGCGTGAGGGGCCACCGAGGTCCGGGGGTCGGCCTCGGGTAGCCCCCTACAGGTGGTTGGGGAAGACGCTGCGAACGCAGCTCAGCTTTCTGCAGCGCAGGTGCCAGAAGAAGTTGGCCAGGTACATGGCGCACACTCGCAACTTCGTTGGGGACCCAGGAGGCCGCGGCCGGGTAAGCATAGAGTGGGCCCTCAAGCGTGCTTGGGATGGGGAGAAAGGAATCTTTTTGACCTGTGAGGATTCCTTTGGAGGTGCTGTCTTTTTTTTTTTTTTTTTTTTTTTTTTTTTCCAGAGAAGCATGAGGCACCCCCCCCCATTTTGTTATGTTTGCCTCATCTGCACCTCTGCCCCAGAAACCTTGCTTAGGGCTCAGGGAGTCAGGGAGTCAAACTTAGCTCTCTCCTAGAGGAATGGAGGAATTGAGAAAAGTCTTCTCCCATCCACACTCTTGCTTCTGTCTTCCACTCTCTTGCCCCCCATTACCGCCCATCTTTTGTATCATTGGCCTGCGCCTGAAGCAAATTCCATCAATAAGTCAATTAGCTGGGAATGGCTTATTTTCACTGCCAAAGTATGCCTATCCCTTACTTAACTACACTTTCCTCAGTTCAGGGACTTCAAGGGAGGGTGGTGGCAGGGAACCAGGGTGAGATTTTTTTTCACATCCCTGACTTTTCTTGATGGTTCCTCCCTCCGGATCTCAAATGCCCCTTATTGGTGGTGATTATTGAGTATGCCTGTAGGACCTGGGGACCTGTCCCAGGACAAGAGCATCTGCCTTTGGTCACACTGACCCCATGAGTGCCAGCCAGGCAACTGTCTTGCTTACTTCGTGGAAGCTGCTGGTCTTGAGCTGCATGGCTGAAGGTACTTGTTCACCAGCTGTAACTTGTTTTCAGTACATTCACACAGGTGTTTGATTTGGTCGCTGACTTAGCAAGCAAGGATTTAATTTGCATCCTCTCTCAGGGAGCTGATTTCATTCTTCTGCTCTCCTTGGTTGAGGAGCAACAGAGGGCTTCCTTTTGGGAACCTTCTACTTAGGTCTGACTCCAGTTCTGGCCCTAGGTTTTAACCTTTCTGACCCTAGCCTGAAAAACACAAAGTGAGATAAGATGCTCTGATGAGGGAGCATGTACACTATGCTCAACACACAAATTATACTGGTGGAAGAGTGCCTGTTTATAACAGAGCACCATGAGCAGTTAGTTAATGGAGAGAATAAAAATGTTTGGATGCTGTATGAGTTGCCCAGTCTGCTTATGTATAGGATAATCTTCAGATGGATGATATAGAGAAAAGCACACAAGTTCGATCTGCCCTTCCAGTTCAGGTTTTAATGTTGATGGAAAGGAACAAGGGTTAGAATTATGGGATAAAAACGTGCAGCATCCATCAAGCTATGGTTCTCTGACAGCGGTTCTGACCCTTCCTAATGCTGCAAACATTTTAATACAGTTTCCTCCTGGTGTGGTGACCTCCAACCATAAAGTTATTCCGTTGGCTACTGTTATGAATCATAATGTAAATATTTGTTAAGCAGATACTCGACCCACAGGTTGTGGACTCATTTTCAAATGCTGCCAGTGGGTGGTGCTTCTCAAAAATTGTATTTTACTTGCCTGTAGGGGCTGCTGTGGGCTCTGGAAAAGCTCCTGGGTGTTTGTGTGTGTTGACCCGGGTTGGGGGGGGGTTGGCCTGAGGTGACTGTAAGGATCAGCATCAGATGTAATGTTTGTAGTGGTACCTACAGCTTATCTCTCTAGCTACATCCCTGATTGCTTAAATGTGTCTTTGCTAACACACAGGTGGCTAGTGTAATTTACATTTGTTTAAATCTTATTGGCTCATCCAGAAAGAAATACTCTACCTAGCCAAACTCTTATTTTCACTCTGTAAGAATGATGACAAACACAATAAGGATAGTATTGAAAATCAAGACAGCTGCCTTCCAGTAGACCCTGCATTACAGGGGCAGCCTGAATGTTTCTGCTGAGGGGACTTTATAAATAGCTTGGCATTCCTACAGGGAAAATTTATGTAAAAGTATTTCTAATTTCTAAGATCCACTGACAGTTTATTTTACATTTTTGTCATACAAGGATAAAAATAAAGAGCCCTGGCTGGTGGAGCCCAGAAATCTGTTTGCAGTTTAGGTGAAGTCAGATGGGATGCTGCCTGTGTGAAATGCAAATCCATGTAGTCATTCGGAAAATCCTTTTTTCTCACATGCACAGCAGTTTCCTTCAAATACATGCTTTAGACTATGTTCTAGAAGAAATTTTGCTAGAGTCAACCATTCTTAAATTGCTTTCTATTTAAGGTAAAATGTCACTGTAGCTGTTAATTTTCTCTTATATATTTTTTTTTCTTTACTTATACACTTCTCCCCTTTCTCACTTAGGGTGGAGAACAGAAGTCATTCACTGTTGTGTTAGAAAGAGAAGATGATACCTTGGGATTCAACATAATAGGAGGCAGGCCAAATCAGGTGACTCCTTTGTTAATACCACATTCTGTGTGTGAAATGGAACATGGGTAGGACAAACAATTGATGTCATCCTTAAAAGGATGCTTGTGCCCAAATACCAGATTCTTAATGTAGACCTTCTGGTCCATACCCAGAATTTCTTTATGAGAGAGTTGGAAAACAACAGAACACCCCACAGTTGACCAACTTGATTCTCTAAGTCACAACCATAAAGGGAAGAGAGTGTTTTACAGTTCATCCATCTTTCTTGCATAGTACCATGGGCAGATCTCTTGACCCTATGATACAGTACCTGAGTAGGTAATTTCCATTTGCTACACTAAGTAGTATCTAGTCTACATATACTTGCTGTTTTCAATGGCTTGGCCTTTAGATGACAATGGGGCTGGAGAAGGTGACAGTATATATTGAATGCAGAGTTGAAATGAATTTAAGTTAGAGAAAAGTGAGGTGTGCGAGAGTATAGTGTTCTCTCCCCCATCTTCTTCTTCCCAAAATTTCTTAAGAAAAATTCATACTAAAAAGAGTTGATATGAAACATTTTTGGCTTTCCAAATCAACTCCTTATTTAAATGGATGAATAATCTTACCTTATACTTACTGTTCTCAGAGTACATATTATGAATTTACATATTGTGATGACAAAATCCTTTGACATCCTTCAATCATATGCTGTCTTAATTTTGAATGTAACTGAACAAAGATAGAGAAATTTAGTAAAGAAAATCACCTTATTTAACTCTCCAACTTCTCTGGAACTCTCCTGTCCCATGTGTCATGTGCTCTTCAAGGATTTCTATGCTTAGGACTCTTTGTCCTGCTTTAAGCTGGGGTTAAGATGGTGGTGACCTATGCCACCCTTTGTCTTTTATGCAACTAGCAAACCCAACAATTAAAGGCCACTGTTCTGCTTCTGTTCTGAAATGGTCCCAGTTATTGTAAAAACACAGGCATTTCTTCACATTATTTTTGTTCTCCCTTCTCTTGAGGGTTATTTATAACTTCTGGTTAGCAATTTGACATTGGGTATTTTGTAGAAGCACTTCTAATTCTGGTTGAAGCAAGCCAATTAACAAGAAGTTTGGGGGATGATTTTATTTGTCTTGCCATAAAATCAACTGACATTTAAAAATATATAAAGTGTTGTAATATGATGACAAACATCTTCCTAAGTAGGTCTTACAGGATCATTGCTTTCTTGTGATTGGCTAAAATGCTATGCAGTGTCAAAGGCTGCTTTTTGAGGTTTACCTATTCCCTGTGAAACTTGTACCTGGAACCATGTAACGATCAGATTTAAATAGGCCTTTTGGTCATGTACAGTTGATATTTTGAGATTTTAGATTTAAAATTACTTTGTCTCCTAGGTGGTCAGAGCTATGATTCAAAATTTCTCACACTGGAAGCTAAAATATATTTTTAGGGTTATGATTGCATCTAAGTTGTTATATACTAGAGGGTAATTTGCTTTCTTTGTCTAAACTTCTGTCCTTGTTTTTTAAAAATTTCCCATAACACTTTATAAGTGAGAGGTGTTTACAGTAACGCTGCTGATCTCACCTTGTGTGTGCCCTTCTCTAAAGCTTATCATATGAATTCAAAATGTAAAGTAAATAGATGAACTTGTCAGAGATGCTGGACTTGTTCATTATAGCTGTCATCTTGATTAATGACTAGTTGGCGTTAAGTGAGTTAATTCTGTGCCAAATTCCCAGCTAAGAGAGTTGCATGTTTGAGCAGAATTGCTACTGTTACAATTAGAAAAATAAAATCATCCATTACAAAATTTAAAGTTTGCTTAATAAGATTCTTTCTGTTAATATTTTTCCCCTGTAGAATTACCAGAAGCAATCAGCAACTGAAGGAATTTATGTTTCAAAAATTGTAGAAAATGGACCTGCAGACAGAGTAGATGGTCTGGAGATCCATGACAAAATCATTGAGGTAAGGCAGAGAAGAAAATGTGCATGCTCTGTGATTAAAACTTTGTAAGGTGACATACACATTCCTCACCTCCATATCCTCATCAGAGTACACATCTAACTGCAATGGAGACTTTGTTGTTTTATTTCTTCCTTAAAATGTAAGACACTATGACAGTTCTTTATCAGTTAGCACAAAGTACCTTAGACTTCCAGATACATTAATGAAAATCTGCATTTTAATACATTCCCTTCACAGAAACCAAAGGGATTTCATTGACTTTCATGGAATTCCTTTTTGTATCATTTCAAAAGGTGATGAATCTGTTTTGATAAGAAAATAATGCTTTTTAAAGATTGTTATCAGTATGTACATGAGAATACTGGGATTACCTATAAAGTGTCTTTTATCATCCTTGGGCATATTCTGTCTTTTTTAAAGCAAGACAAATGAAGGAGCGGTCTTGCCTCTGTAGGGAGGAGCTGTGGGATGGGAGCTTTTGAGTATGCAGCTGTGTTGTTTGGAGCTTATGCTGGGAATGAGCTGTGATGGCAGTACTGGAATTATGCCCCCCCCAGTGTTGCTTCACAGCTAGTATTATTTGTTGTCACCAAAAGTGATTAGGTTATTTTTACTGGTTAGTTAATTTCCGATGTATTTGTAAAGGTATCAATAGAAGTGAAGGTTTATTGGACTGCACTGTATTTTGAAAATAAATCTGTATATTCTGTATTGTGGAATCAGTAGCATTGCCTTTCTGGATGGGTAGATTCCACTTTATTAGATTTCTGATAAATTTTTGATTTGTATTCAAATTGTATATGCTAACAAAGCTGAGTCTTGAGCCAGCATTGAGCTAGAAAAGGAATAGAAGGAAAACCATGGTATCTAGAAGAAAGCTTACTTGACACTTGAAGAGTAGGGTGTTGCCTTTGGGTGGAGACTGTTTGTTTAAATAGGTCTGCAGATCAACATTGTTTCAAGCCCTGTAACCAAATAAAAGGACAGACAACCTTCTTCTGGCTATGCAGTTTGCTTCAGGTTACCTGCTGAAAAAATTTATAGATTGCAGTGACTGTAGTCAAAAGATTACTGTTTTCGCTCCTGTGAAGGTACCTGTAATATATTTTTTCAACAGGTATATTCATTTTAAAAAATCTCATTTTTCATAACATCTCAGAAGCATTCTAATTAAATGAAAGTCTATATTTGACACTGTTAAAGCAAATAGTATTTGCTTTAATACTTAAACTCAAACACACTCATAACCCAGTGAGAGAAATCAATAAAGGGGATTTGAATTATTTAGATATTTGACAGTGTTACATAAGTCTTGTTGATATTGGCAATAAAAAAGAAAGCAGCAGAGTTAGAAGATAGGGCTTAGCAATTAAGGTGCATACTGTTCTTACAGAGGGTCTAAGTTGTTTCCAGCACCCGTATCAGGTGTATTACAACTGATTACGACTCTAGATCCAGGAGAGTCTGGCCCCTCGAAGCCTCTGTGACAGCCCCCACATACATATGTGGCATACACTCAGACACACACACACACACACACACACACACACACATGTGCCTTTAAAAAAAAAGGAAGGAGTTTTCTTTATTATGCTCTAATACTTTTTTTCAAATTTATTATGTATACAGTGTTCTGCCTGCATGTATGCCTGCAGGCCAGAAGAGGGCACCAGATCTTTTTATAGATGGTTGTGAGCCACCATGTGGTTGCTTGGAATTGAACTCAGGGTCTTTGAAAGAACAGCCAGTGCCCTTAACCTCTGAGCCATCTCTCCAGCCTGATGTAATACTTTAAAAAAAAAAAAAAAAACACTCATATATTTAGGGCTAGAAGTGTGATTACCTGGTAAAGGTCAGGGGTTCCACTCACAGCACCAAAGTAAAATTATAGTCTCATTCGTTTTCTTACTGGAAAAGGTAATTTTACTTTAAAAAAAAAAAAAAAAAAAAAGTCAATGTTTGATAACAAATTTGTCTAGCAATCCATCCAATGTCATTACTAATATTTGTCAAGCTAATCTTACTTAAACTCTATTAAGATAAACAGCAAAATTGACCCAGTGGTGGAGAATCAGTTGAAATTTATAATGAACTGTGATATTATTCATCTTGATTTGTAAATAAACGGTCATTAGAAAAAACTTTAGACTTATCATAACACACATATATATCATCTTTTCCAGGGCATGAATAATATATTTATTTACATCAGATCTACAATAGATTTATGAGACCACATTTGTTGCCAAGAACTGGGTAAAATTATTTTAGTATTTTTGCAATTATCTTGTTAATTAGTGTGACTATTTTAGAAGGAAGATAGCTAAAAATAAGCCTCTAACACTTGGCTGTTTGTTTAGTGTCCTGTCAGTGACCTTAGTACATATTCCAACAAGTATTAAAAACACAGATTTTGAGGACAATCATCACATGCCATTAAGAGTTATAAACAGCTGATGCCTGTCAGTCATTTTAATTCCTATTTCAGAGCTACTAATCAATATTACGTTTGTATCTAATAGGAAATTGACAAACTACATTGATTTAAAATGTGCAGAGCTGGATAAACAGATTTTTCAAAACAAAGTCAATAACTTATTTTTTTCACCTTATGATTTGCTGACAGAAGGAATGCAATGAAAAATTCAGCCAGATTTTGAATTTCAAAAGGCAGCATTATAACTAATATTGTATTAGAATTAGTAAAGTCTCTATAAGCATCAATAGAGCCGTGTTAACATACCTACTTTTTATTCAAATTGATGTTTTATGAATATTTTAATAATTATAGTTTTTTATTTGTTGTGCATCACTTATGCTAATAACCATACTAAATATTTTAGGTATGCTTTGAAAAGAAGGTAACAATAAAGTTTTTCAGCTTTGGTTATTTTCATTTCAAAGCATTCAGAATGAGTCAAATTGTTTCAATTAAGTAAATTGGACATCTTCATAATATTCAATGTATTTGTGCTCTTATACTGTGGCAAATATGTTTGCTTTTGCCATAGTTCAACAACTTTAAAATGACTGGTTTTGGTATACTTTATTCCAGGGGATAATTTTGGAGTCATTCTCCAGAAATATCCATGCTGGCTAGTTTCTACCTACTTTTACACCAGTGTCACTGACAGTATGTATTTGTGTGTATTAAAAACAAGTTAAGTTTGATATTTGAGTTATAGCATTAAGTGACAAAATATTACCAGAGTCTAAAAAAAGGTTGAAAAACTGTTAACAGCATCAGAAATTCAGGTAAACCAGTTCAGTATGTACATGAGGTTTAAAGCTACTGGGCTTGTCTTTCACAATTAAGAGATATCTGATAGGCACTTGGTCCTATCAGAAGAAGCAACTATCAAGATACCCGTGAAGTATGTGGGAGGAAGTGGGGGTGGTGGTCAAAGTTTATTGCTGCTGTGAACAATATCATATCATAATTTTGTGACATTGGTAGGCAGCAATGAGCCCAACAGTCCAGAGTGAGAAATGGTGCAGAGTCATCCATGTCTCTTTGTATACTTCTGGTCTTCCAAACATCATCTAGCAATGACAGTGACAGGACAGTGTTATGCACAGCAGTTACCACTTAGTTTCTCAGAATCAGAAATTTGAAATGGAGTCTTCAGCATTTCAGATGAGCACATTGAAACAGAAAACAATGCTCGTGTGAATGCACATACTAAAATAACTTCTATCTATGAAGCTGAAACTCATCCTGAACAGCAGCCACAAAAGCAGCTTCTTTTGCTTTATAAACAGTTCCTATATTGAATTGTGCCTGTGTGGCACTTTCCATATGGTGTCTTGTTTGGCACTGGAGGGAAGACCTTTCCCAACCAGGAATTCTGTTGTCAGGCTGCCAGCTGCTTTTTCTTCCAATACAATGACATGCTATATCTTCTGCATTCTGTGTCGACTCTAGGCATGGCCACAGTGAATGCTATGGTTATTGGGTGAGTTCAGCTAAGGCTTTGGACAGTGGTTTATAGCTGTCAAAGCAGGAAAATTAACTACAGACCAGGGCTAACCACTTAAAAATACTGAGATAAATCTATAAAGTTCCACCTCAAATCACTAATAATGATTGTTTCACATATAAGAAACATTTGCAAGTTGCAGGAGTACCTGTAAACCAGTGGGCAGTTATTTTTTATTTGAACAGATGACTGCAAATCTCAATAGAACAATATACTTATTGTCCATTTTAAGGTATATTTCAATAATAGCTTGATTGTATAATAATGAGGAAAAATATCAAAGAATATAATAAGAAATTATATTCTGATGAGATTAGTAGCCACAATTTGATGCTACTGAGATGAATGTATCATATGTTGTACTGTCTCTTGAAAAATAATGTGGTATCATGAGAAGAGCCTGGGCCATGAGGTAAAGGAGCCTTGCTGGAATGCCTGCTCTACCTCTTAAAGACAGAATGAATTGAGTTCCTCCTTAGTTTCTACATGTACTTTCAGTTTATACAAGCAAGAAGTTTGAGGAGAGCTAGGACAGCTGCTGCCAGCATTCAGATCTTCCAGTTCCTGAGGATGCCAGAGTTTGCTGAAGATCAGCAGATTGTAACAGCATTGAGATTTATCTACAGGAACACTGCAGGCAAGAAGAGCTGTTGTTGCTGTAGTATGGTTGGTCAGAGGCCAGATTTTCTGTTTGCAAGAAGAGCACCTACACTTGGCTGGCTGGGGAAGAAGAGCTCTTAAGTGCCCTGTAATACAAAGCATTCTGTCCTATGAATTTGCAAAGGATGTAGATTCGACCTTAGTAGGGTCACAGTGTTCACTCTAGTTTTCCTATTGTCCTAGAGTTGTTTGCTTCATTTTGGGAATCATGGCATAAGGTTAAGGGCATGTAGAAGACAGTAGAAGATATACAGATAAGAGATTGTCTCATGGTTTCTAAAAGACCCAGGCTTTGAACATTTTGAATTTATGTTGAGTTATAACAGACTACATCTCAACCTTTCTTACCTGCAGTATCCTGCCTTAAATAGCAATGAGGTGATGAGTAGCACTGATGTTTGGCTCCAC